TTTCTTGTTATTCACCTCTCCCAACATCTCTTTCTTTACTTTACAGAACGTTATTATGATCAGGAACACAAACAAATTAAATAAATGGATGAATAAAACATGTGCTGTATTTTTATACAGATGCTAACTATAATCGGCTCCTGAGCATTTTGGAGCTCCCCGCCCACGAGCAGCCAGTGCGGGCGGCGGCAGGCGTTCCCCTCACACCCCGTGAACCACCGCAACTTTGACGCGGGGGGAGGAGGGGGGGGGGGCAGCACCAGAATAGCACCTGACGACAGAATTCCGCGCGCGCTCTCACGGCCCAGAGGCTAAAACACCGCCGTTGGAGATTTGTTTGTTTGCATTGTTTAGGCGAATTGCTTTAAAATAAGGGTGAGTGTTCTAATATCTACGGAGAGAAGCTTTTTTATAGACACAGTCATTCTAAAACTGAGAGATTATCATGAATGAATACATGAAAACAGTCAAGCCCACATGGGTCAATAGCCTTCAACTAGTCCCACTTCCATCTTAAGAAACAGCAGCTTGTGTAATTTCATATAAGAAAAGGAGGCAAAGCGTGTCAAAAATACAGCGAAGAAAACCCGTAAACACGCGGTCGTTACGTTAATCAGCGACACCGTTTAATGAAGCAACAACACAGACTCGGCCCAAGGAGGAGCGTCGTCACGGTACGAACACATGCGTTCTTAACTGCCCCCCCTTATTTCCGACCCTTCAACCCCCCTCTCAACCCCCTCCTATCCCGCCTAAGATCCCCCCACCCCACACCCACCCTGCTCGCACATGTCGGGGCGCTCCTCGTCCCCCGCTTCCGGACAGCTGATACTCTGCGTGCCAGACAGCATCTCGTCTGGCCTCCGATACATGTGTACCTTTTCATCTATATTTTCCTTACCCTAGTCATGTTTCTGCTTTGGCCTCCGTTATTTTTCTACATCTCTGTATTATTTTTCTCTATTCTCTCTATCAATAGTTCCTTCTATTTTCCTTCCCACTTTACACATATGTCTGTTAAGTACTTCCTCTTCTTTGCCTTCTTCCTCTTTTTTTTTTTGGCTTTGTTTTTAATTTTCCATCTTCCTCCTTCAATGTCCCTGCCTCCTTCAGGTACTTCGTCGTCACACGCTGAGGCTCTGGACCCCTTTGCTTGTCAAGACCTCCATTCTTTTCACCAGGATCTTTTCGCCCTCCCGTCACCACCGCCTTCCCGTCACCACCGCCTTCCCGTCATCACCGCCCTCCCGTCACCACCGCCCTCCCGTCACCACCGCCCTCCCGTCACCACCGCCTTCCCGTCACCACCGCCCTCCCGTCACCACCGCCCTCCCGTCACCACCGCCTTCCCGTCACCACCGCCCTCCCGTCACCACCGCCTTCCCGTCATCACCGCCCTCCCGTCACCACCGCCTTCCCGTCATCACCGCCTTCCCGTCACCACCGCCCTCCCGTCATCACCGCCCTCCTGTCACCACCGCCCTCCCGTCACCACCGTCCTCCCGTCACCACCGCCCTCCCGTCACCACCGCCCTCCCGTCACCACCGCCTTCCCGTCATCACCGCCTTCCCGTCACCACCGCCCTCCCGTCACCACCGCCTTCCCGTCACCACCGCCCTCCCGTCACCACCGCCCTCCCGTCACCACCGCCCTCCCGTCACCACCGCCTTCCCGTCATCACCGCCTTCCCATCACCACCGCCCTCCCGTCACCACCGCCTTCCCGTCATCACCGCCCTCCCGTCACCACCGCCTTCCCGTCATCACCGCCTTCCCGTCACCACCGCCCTCCCGTCACCACCGCCACCACCGCCCTCCCGTCACCACCGCCCTCCCGTCACCACCGCCTTCCCGTCACCACCGCCCTCCCGTCACCACCGCCTTCCCGTCATCACCGCCCTCCCGTCATCACCGCCCTCCCGTCACCACCGCCCTCCCGTCACCACCGCCCTCCCGTCATCACCGCCCTCCCGTCACCACCGCCTTCCCGTCACCACCGCCCTCCCGTCACCACCGCCTTCCCGTCATCACCGCCCTCCCGTCATCACCGCCCTCCCGTCACCACCGCCCTCCCGTCACCACCGTCCTCCCGTCACCACCGCCCTCCCTTCACCACCGCCCTCCCTTCACCACCGTCCTCCCGTCACCACCGCCCTCCCGTCACCACCGCCCTCCCGTCACCACCGTCCTCCCGTCACCACCGCCTCCCGTCACCACCGCCCTCCCGTCACCACCGCCCTCTCGTCACCACCGCCCTCCCGTCATCACCGCCTCAGCAGCGCCCAAGCCCTCGGGAGCCGGCACGGAAGACGCCCTCAGGTGCGCCCCGTCGATGAAGAGCCCTAATATCTCGCGATATTTGGGATCGGATCTCGAGGACACATGCGCTTCGCCAATCAGATTCCATTACGACTTCTTCCAACTCTTTTGTTGCCATTTCAAGGCGAAGTCAGACATTTTTGTCACATTCTATGGCTTCGAGAGAGAAAAATTGGGGTGA